TTACTGTTAATTTAGCCTTTATGTTCATTAATATTTGGTTTATACATTTCAGTGCTCCTATGTTGGATACATAGATATTTACAATTTTTATAGCCTCTTCTTGGATTGATCTCTTTAAAATTATGCAGTATCCTTTGTTGTCTCTTTTTATAGCCTTTGTTTTGAAGACTGTTTTGTCTGATATAGGTTTTGCTACTCCAGCTTTCTTTTCATTTCTATTTGCATAGAATATCATTTTCCATCCCTTTACTTTCAGTCTATGTGTGTCTTTCGATCTAAAGTGAGTCTTGTAAGCAGCATATAGATGAGTCTTGTTTTTGTCCATTCTTCCATCCTATGTCTTTTTTTTTTTTTTAAGATTTTATTGGGGAATTGGGGGAGGGTACAGCGTTGGGGAATCGGGGAAGGGGAACAGACAAGTTGCTGTCCTTTGGTTCTTCAGTCTAGTTGTGGAGGACGTCGCTTCACTGTCCCATGTTGGTATTGTGATCATTGTGCTCTTCCCAGCTGAGGCAGATCGGTCACCGGCAATTGGACGGCCGCTCACGGTGGCTCACAGCAGCTCACGCAGCTGGCTGCTCACGCTGGCTGCCGGCCACTCATGATAGCTCACGGCAGCCCGCTGCAGCCCCTCTGCAGCCTACGCCGTCACCGGCGACTCTCGGCAGTCCAGCTCCAGGTTGAGCTGTTGTTCACCATCTTAGCTATAGAGGGCAGTGTCACTAGCCCATGTGGGATCCGAACCGGCAGCCCTGCTGTTCAGAGCTCGAGCTCCCAAGTGAACTCTTTTTTTTTTTTTTTAGCTGAGCCATCCTGCCACCTGTTGGCAGCCCAGCGGCTGCTCAGCTCGGGCCAGGACTCAAACCGCTGTTGCTCAGAGCTCAAACTCTTGAGCAAGCTCTTAACCAACTGAGCCACTCAGCTGGCCCCCAAGTGAACTCTTAACCAGCGAGCCACTTGGCCAGCCCCCATCCTATGTCTTTTGATTGGAGGATTTAGTCAATTTATATTTAAAGTAATTATTGATAGATATGTGTTTATTGCCATTTTGTTCATTGTTTTTGGTTGGGTTTTTGTTGTTGTTGTTGTTTGTTTGTTTGTTTGTTTTTAGTGAAAGCCACCTTTGTATTTATTAAAATCCTAAACAGTAAAACAAAACAAAACAAAAAACCTTCTGTTGGTATCCTTGTCTTCTCAGTCCAATTGGGAGTTTGTTAGATCATCACACACTTCAAGGACGTCACTTTGAAGCAGTTTCCATACAGATCAGTGCTGGTGGGCTGAATTATTCCCAGGATTGGTCTCTTATCAGCTTCTGAAAAATGTCTTGTTTGTTCTTTGCCAAGCTTCTCAATCACACTTTGGGAGCTCAAGCATCTTTTCAGAAGCCAAGGAGGGGCTTGTCCAGGTGTTTTCTCCAAATGTTGATTAGGGAGCTGTCTTCCGTCATAATCAAGTACATAATCATCTGATACATTTGGCCTTGTGTCTTTCACTTCAGAATTCGATTCTTTGTGTCTTTGCATTAAATGTTCTTTATCACAAACCTCTTGCTCTTGTCTGGCATTTCGAAGGCTTGCTGTATTAGAATGTCTTTCCTTCTTTGTTTTCAGATGTTTTTTCTTGGTTTTTATCTGTGAAGTTAACTTGTTTTTGGTTGTTTTTATGGTTCTCTGTTCCTGTCTTCTCTTGATCTCTTTCCTTTTAACTTGTTGGTTTTCTTTAGTGTTTTCGTTGGGTTCCTTTCTCTTTATTTATTTATTTATTTTTAATTAATTTATTATTTTTTTTGTAGAGGGCAGTGTCACTGGCCCTCACATGTGGGATCCGAACCGGGGCCCTCTGGCGTCCCAAGCCAGTTCTTAATCATCGCGCCACTTGGCCGGCCCTCTCTTTATTTTTTTGTGTGTATTTTTTGTATGTTTTTGGTTTACAGTTACTATGAGGTTCATATGTATTTGTGGGTTTTTTTGGTTGTTGTTGCTGTTGTTTTAGCTGAGCCATCCTGCCACCTGTTGGCAGCTCAGTGGCAGCTCGGCTTGGGCCAGGAATCGAACCGGCGACCCTGTTGCTCGGAGCTCTCACTCTTGAGCAAGCTCTTAACCAACTGAACCACTTGGCTGGCCCATATGTATCCATTTATATCTATAGCAGTTTATTTTAAGCTGATAGCCATTTAAGTTCAGTCGCATTCTAAAATCACTACATTTTTACTTTCTCCCCCACTCTTTATGTTTTTCATGTTATGTTTTATATCTTTTCGTTTTGTGTATCCCCTGCCTATTTATTATAGTTGTACTTAATTATGCTTCTATTGTCTTTTAACCTTCATATTAGCTTTTTAAGTGGTTGATTCACTGTGATTATTGTATATTTCCCTTTACCAGTGAGTTTTTTTTCCTTTCTTATATTTATTTCCTATTTCTGGTCATGGCCTTTCTGCATAAAGAAGGTCCGTTAACATTTCTTCTTTTTTTTTTTAGCTGAGCCTGTTGGCAGCTCAGCTTGGGCAAGGAAGAATCAAATCAGTGACCCTGTTGCTCAGAGCTCGCACTCTTGAGCGAACTCTTAACCAACTGAGCCACTCGGTTGGCTCCCATTAACATTTCTTGTAAGACTGGTTTAATGGTGGTGAGCTCCTTTTTTTTTTTTGCTCTCTGGGAAACTCTTTACCTCTCCTTCAATTCTGAACGACAGAGCTACCAGATACAGTATTCTTGGTTGTAGCTTCCTTACTTTCAGCACTTAAATATTTCCTGCCACTCCTTTCTGTACTGTATGTAAAGTTGCTTCTGAGAAATAAGCTCATAGCCTTACGGGATTTCCCCTGTATGTGACTTGTTTCCTTCTTGCTGCCTTCAAGATTATCTCTTTGTCCTTCACTTTTGCCATTTTAATTACAATATGTCTCAATGTGGGTCTCTTTGAGTTCATCTTGTTTGGAACTCTCTGCTTCCTAGACCTGGATGTCTTTTATTCTTCCCCAGATTAGGAAAGTTTTCAGCCTCTATTCCTTCAAATACTCTTTCTGCCCCTTTGTCTCTCTCCTCATTCTGTAATCCCTATAATGCAAATGTTAGGTGCTTTATATTATCCCAGAGATCTCTTATACTATCCTCATTTTCTTTTTTTTTTCATTTTGCTGTTCTGATTGTGTTATTTCTAGTATTCTGTCTTCCAGGTCACTAATCTGTTTTTGTGTATTAAGTAATCTGCTGTAGATTCCTTATAATGTGTTCCTCATTTCAGTTACTGTACTTTTCATCTCTGATTGGTTCTTTATTATATTTTCCATCTTTGTTGAAGTGCCCTCTGAATTCCTCTTTTCTGCTCTCAAGTTTGTTGAGCATCCTATGACTGTTTCTTTGAATTCTTTATCAGGAAAATTACTTATCTCCGTTTCATTAGGGTTTTTCTTCTTGTTCCTTCATTTGAGGCATATTCTTCTATCTCCCCATTTTCTTTGACTTTTTGGGTTTTTTTCCTGAGTTAGATCAGCAGTTCTCAACCTGTGGGTCACGACCCCTTTGGAGGTCGAACGACCCTTTCACAGGGGTCGCCGGGTACTCATATGTGGGCTTATCTGCATGTGGGCCTGGAGACGGATAGAGGAGCAGTATCTCAGTTCCTATGACCATCGAAAATATGTGTTTTCCGATGGTCTTAGGCGACCCCTGTGAAAGGTTGAGAACCGCTGAGTTAGATGGAATAGCTCTCTCTCCCAGTCTTGAAAGAGTGGTTTCTCTGTAGACTGTGTTGAATAGTTTAGTTTTGGTGGGCTGGTTGTGGTTGGGGTGAGTGTGTGCAGTGCCTGGTGTGTCACTTGGCTGGGATAAGTGGGTTCCACGTTGGCAGCCTTGTGTGGCCAGGGCTGCTTGGTGCACACTTGACGTGCCCTGTTGCTTTAATTGTCTGAGAGTGGATATGGCCAGGGCTGCTCTGTGTGCTTGCATCTCAATGCCCTACTAGCTCCGCCCTTCCTCCTCATGTGACAGCCCTGTGTGCGTACACAGCTGCACATTGCTAGTTCTGCACCTTTTCCAGGCAGGGCAGACCCACTCACACAGCAGTGCTCCCCTCCACACAGGGCAATCCTCCATGAGGGTACCTCAACATTTTGCCAGTTTTGCACTGTCTTCGGGCAGGGCAGCCCCACATGCGCACACAGCAGGACTTCATTATCGCCACACATTCTCTGGACAGGGTAGCCCGGCAGACGGGTTCCGCAGGGTTTTGCTAGCTCCGCACTTCCAGGTGGGGGAGCCCTGTGTGCACATACAGCCCAGTGGGTGCACGAAGCAGCATACTGCTGTTACCCGCTGGATCAATCTCTGGGTGGGGGGCCCCCTTGTATACATGCTTGGGCGCCTTTGTTTCCCTGCTGGATCTAGCCCCAGACAGGGTGGCTAGGGTGCTGCAGCGCCCTGCAGATTGGCCGGAAAACCTGGACGGAGCTCCTACCGGCATCCATATGCCAGGGAAATGTATACAGTGGCGCCCACGGGTTCCTCCAGTCTTGAGTTACTCAGCTCCCAGAGAGTTCTCTTGGCTCCCAACCTTCTCTGAGCTGTTCCTCTCTTTTTTTTTTTTTTTTTTAGCTGAGCCATCCTGCCACCTGTTGGCAGCTCAGNGGGGAACAGACAAGTTGCTGTCCTTTTGTTTGTTCTTCAGTCTAGTTGTGGAGGACGTTGCTTCACTGGCCCAAGTTGGCACCATCATTGCGCTCTTCCTGGATGAGGCAGATCGGTCGCTGACCACTGGATGGCCACTCATGGCAGCTCACAGTGGCTCACGGCTGCTCATGAAAGCTCACGCCCACTGCTGGCCAGCTATGCTGCAGCGTAGGCCATCACCGGCGACTCACCGCAGCCCAGCTCCAGGTCAAGCTGATGTTCACCATCTTAGCTGTAGAGGGCAGTGTCACTGGCCCTCATGTGGGACCTGAACCGGGGCCCTGCTGCTCAGAGCTGGTGTCCCAAGCCAACTCCTAACCAACAAGCCACTCGGCCGGCCTCATCATACTTTTTCCACCACTTTTTAGCATCCATCCACGGATCTTGGCTGCAACAATTATGAGGTGTTTGCCCAATGGTCATCGTCTATGTCGCTCACACTGTCTACATTTGTTAATTTGAATTTTTGTGGCGACCTTTTATTTCCCTTACTCCTTGTACATTCACTAATTGGAGCAGCTGAAAGGTCAGTCACACAGCTAAGCCCCGCCTCCAAGTTGGAGACCCGGGCGAGGGGAGGAGGGGAGGGGGCGGTGCGCCGGGTCATGTGACAGCGCCGCCGCTGACGTGGCCTCCGGCGGACGTTTCACGTGTCCCTCGCTGTGCCCCGTCCACCGCCCTTGCTCCGCAGACCTAATCCCAAGATGGCGGCGCCCAGCGGAAGGAGGAACGGCGGCGGCGCCGCGAGCTTATGGCCCGTTCTGCTCCTTGCAGCCATGGGGCTGAGGCTGGCGGAGGCGGTGTCCGAGCCCACGACGGTGGCGTTCGACGTGCGGCCGGGCGGCGTCGTGCACTCCTTTACCCAGAGCGTGGGGCCGGGAGTAAGTGCCGCTGCTGATGCGGAGGCTTGAACGACGTGCCCGCGGGGACGGGGCCTGGAGAGGGGATGCGGTCTGAGGAGGGCGCTCGTACCTTGGGGACGGGGCCTGAGGAGGGGGGCGGACTTGGAGGCTGGCGACTTTGAGGGGGCTGGGTCACTAGCCTCAGTTCCTGTCACTCACATGCCCACCATAGCCAAGTTGCCCTATCCCTCAGACCCAGGCGAGTCCCCGGCCCTTGGAGGGCAGGGTGTACACAGGTGGAGAGTGGGGAGTCGGAGCCTGAAGGGTAGGTGCCTCTAGGCCCCGCAGGTCAGTCCCGCTGCAGCTCTAACCAGGAAGTGGACAGACGTTGCTCTTCCATTGCACAAGGTCCCCCATCTTTTTTCATTGAAGTGGGAGGCCAGGTTCTCATTATCCGAGGAAGCAGGCCTGGGTCCAGTCCAGCCTTGTCCCCAACATGTTGGAGAAGTCGCTGCTTCTCCTGTCCTTTTTTGTCTGTACCAACCATATCTATAGGACCTATTTGTTGATACTTCCTTACAGCTGGGAATTGTGTGGAATGCTTTATATGTTAGGCCCATTTTGCATATGAGTAAACAGAGGCTCAGAAAACTTTGCACCTGTCCAAGGCCCACAGCAGCGCAGAGATGGGTCCCCAGGTGTCCCAAAGTCTGAGCTCCTAGAGTGAGGGGGGTAGGTGCTAGACGGGGTGTGACCTCCCCATTCCGGTTCTTCATCCCTTACAAGCCACATGGGTCGTTTGCCCTGACCTCCAGCTCACTAGTAGGGAGGCAGGCAGGGGAGTTACTGGTCTGCAGATACTGGGAAACCTTCAGGGCTGGCTCCACCTTCTTCCTCTTAGTGCAGATGCTCACAAGCGGAGTCTTCTTGATTCTGGATCTCAGAAGGACATCCTGAAGACCCTGCACCTTAAGCACTAAGGATTACTTCCTACCAAGCCTTTTTTTTTTTCTTCCATTTTCTAGGACAAATACACTTGTGTGTTCACCTATGCTTCTCAAGGAGGGACCAATGAGGTGAGTTGTACAAAATTCCATGTAATTTAGTGTGACAATGTCTGTTGTCATACCGAGATGCTCTCCAGGAACAGTGGGGCTGGGTCATGCATGTGTTAACTTACAATCATTGAACTATTCTTGCTTAACCAATAAAAGTGAGAGTGCTCGAGTTAAATAGTGATGGTAGATTCCACTCATCATTCCACAGAGTGAACAAATGTCTGGACAGAAGGAGGGACGTGAGATGTGACCCTGCCATTTCCGTGAGCCTATTAAGGGTTTCGTATTTGTTTTCTGTGCTGCCTAGCAAATAACCACAAACTTAGCAGCTTAAAACAACGCCCATTTATTGTGTCTTAGTTCTGGAGTTCAGAAGTCCTGGTGGCTCAGGTGGATGCTTTGGAAGCTAAAATCAAGGTGTCAGCCGGGCTGGGCTCTCAGCTTCCAGGCTCAGTCAGTTTGGTGGCAGAATTCAATTCCTTGCGGTGTTGGACTGAGGTGCCCATATCCTTGCTGATCATTTTCTTTAGCTGGTGGCAGAAGACGAAGTAAGAGATTCAAAGCACAAGAAGGGTGCTTCGCACAGTTGCCTGATTTGAGGGGCTCATGTGGCAAGGAATGCAGGTAGCCTCTAGAAGACGAGAGTAGTCCCTGCTGGCAGCAAGGAAACAGGACTCAGCCCTACTACCACAAGAACTGATTTGGCCACCAACACTTGAGTTGGAAGGAGACCCCATGCTCCAATGGGAACATAGTCTGGCCTACACCTTGATTTTGCTTGTGAGACATTAAAGGACCCAGTCACATCATGCCCAGACTTTTTTTTTCCATCTGCCCCATCTTCTCCTTTGGTAACCATCAGCTTGTTCTCCATATATTAGTCTCTTTCTGTTTTGTATATTCGTTTGTTTTTCTAGATTCCACATATAAGTGAAATCATGCAGTATTCATCCTTCTCTGTCTGACTTATTTCACTTAGCATAATATGCTCTAGGTCCATCCATATAATCGTAAATGGCAAGATTTCATTCTTTTTTAGTGCCGAATAGTATTCCATTGTATATATGTACCACATTATCTTTATCCATTTATTTATGGATGGATGGATACCTAGTTGCTTCCATATCTTGGCTATTACTAGTAATGCTGCAGTGAACATAAGGGTGCATGTATCTTTTTGAATTTATGTTTTTGTTTTCTTCCAATAAATACCCAGAAGGGCAGTTGTTGAATCATATGACTACTGTGTTTTTTATTTTTTGAGGACCCTCCATGCTGTTTTCCATGGTGGCTGCACCACTTTACAATTCTACCAACAGTGCATGAAGGTCCCTTTTCTCCACATCCTCACCAATGCTTGTTATTTGTTGATTTATTGATGATAGCCATTCTGACAGGTGTGAGGTGAGATCTCATTGTGGTTTTAATTTGCATTTCCCTGATGATTAGTGATGGGGAGCATCTTTTCATATGTCTGTGGGTCATCTGTATGTCCTCTTCAGAGAAGTGTCTATTCAGGTCCTCTGCCCAGTTTTTGATCAGATTGCTTGTTTTATTGTTTCTAAGTTGTATGAGTTCTTTATATAATTTGGATAGTAACCTCTTATCAGATGTATCATTGGCAAATGTGTTCTGTTCAGTAGGTTGTCTTTTGAATTACTGATGGTTTCCTTCACTGTGCAAAACTTTTTAGTTTGATGCAGTCCCATTCATTTATTTTTTCTTTTGTTTCCCTTGCCTGAGGAGACATATCTAAGAAGATATTGCTAGGAGCAATGTCAAAGAGTTTACTGCCTGTGTTTTCTTCTAGGAGTTTTCTGGTTTCAGGTCTAACACTTAAAGTCTTTCATCCATCTTGTGTTTATTTTATTTATTTTTTTTAAAGATTTTTATTGGGGAATT